GGAAATATCCTCGTTATGTGCGTCTCCTCCTCCGTCGGATAAGGGTAGGCAACGCATCTGCGATTGCGGATGTCTATGGGACTCGCCATTTTGGCGGATTCGGGTGGCCGCTTGCTCGTTTGCCACCTCATATTATATAAAAAAAAACATGTATAATGTTGTGATGATGTTGTTGATGATGATGATGATGATGATGATGATGATGATGATGATGATGCACAATGATTACATAGAATATCCTCAAAAAAAAGAATTGTGTAAAAAATAAATGTTACAGGTACAGTAGAACCTCGATAACTCAAACATCGGTAACATAAAAACCGATATAACTTAAAATATTTTGTATTTCCCTTGGACTTTAACTTATCGAGGTTCTACTGTATTTATTCTTACTAATATTACAAATGGGAAAGTTTAGATGGATGTTTGTTAGAGTTTGTAGCCTAAACGACTGAACGGATCTGGATGAAATTTGGCACAGATGTAGAGGTTAGTCTGGAAGGACACATAGGCTACTTTCTTTTGTTTTCATTAATACCACGCGGACGGAGTCGCGGGCGGAAGCTAGTATTTATATATATTTAATAAATTATAGTAGTTTTAATTAGCCTAGAGTTTTCTTTATAAACAGCATCCGTCTAACCGCGGCAAAGTTTTTCTATTGATTTTCTCCTTTTAGTGAAGCAAATAGAAGCCTCGGATAAGTTTAAGTTGTGCTCAAGTGGTTAACAAGAGCGCAACTTAGTTCTAAACATTTTTAACTAGGCGCTCAAGTGCTGTCTATTACACGTTCTAAGTTATACTAAGGATAGCCGTGGAAATCTAAGTTAAACATAACTTAAAAGGACCGACATCATTAATTGAGCTTTGATATCTAGATTAGATCGTTTAAATAATTATTGGAAAGTAATACAAAAATAAATTAATCGCCCTTTAAATAATAGATTGTGCTTCGATTGTTATTACGTTATTCAGATTGGTTAAATTTTAACCACGTTCTTTTATAATTGCTAACAAAAAATTGGTAAACTGTTGTTAAAAATATGGTTAAGATCAGTTTTTTAGTTTTGGTCGATTGCTCTATGATTTATTTACCTTACTAGTATTATAAATGCGAAAGTTTAGATGGATGGATGTTTCTTGGAGTTTGTAGCCTAAACGGCGTAACATATGTTGATGAAATTTGGCATAGATATGGAGGATAGTCTGGAAGAACACATAGGCTACTTACTATTTTTTTAAATTTCACCCGGACCGAGTCGAGGGCGAAAGCTAGTAAAATATGATGCATAGTTACTTTTTGCGTATGTAAGTTTGTATTTTAATATGTTAATGTCTTTCCGAAGATCCGTTATGTTAAAGTTATTAAGAAATTAGCAAAAGGCCGGCAACTTTTACAGCCGCCTGAGTCGTAAAAGAAGCGTAAAAACTCTTTCTAATGATGTTATAATGTCTGGGGCCTTCAGAGTTTGTGTTCGGAAAAATCTGCATTAACTCCACTCGTAAACTCACTGTCATTAATACTGGGAACCTTTTCGTATCGTTTTTACGGTTTATTTATTTTAAAGAATGTATTTTTTAATACTTCCTAACTATCGAGTATTATTAAACAAACTGCTACTGTTTTTATCTTAAAAATTAACATATTTTATAAATCGAAAAATAAAAAAAAATACACTAAATAGCGTACATAGAAATATTGAGATTACATTAACAAACATATATAGCTAATTTACTACTTAAAATTCACATGTCTCTGCAAATTTTGTATAATATATTTTACACAATACTAAAAAAAAACAAAATTAAGACGTCTATGTTCTTCCAGACTATCCTCTACATCCATCCGTCTATCTAAACTTTCGCATTTATAATATTAGTGAGAATTAAGATAGTACACCACCGAGTGCGGAATCTGACGACTCAAGCAAGCAGTTATTACTTAAATTATTGTTATGGTTTTAAAATAATACATTAAAATGCAAATTTGACTAAACTATCGCACAATTGTTAAGTCTCGGTTTTATTCCTACGAGCTTATATAGATTTGCGGACACCACTCGATTTTTAATTGCAACTAAACAGCTGTGCAACAAAACAATCGCACAACTGTTGTGTGATAGTTTAGTCAAATTGCCACTAGAAACATAACATCGTGGCATCGACACAACCTATCGTAACCGGCGCCATTTGAATATTTAACCCGACAACATTATAATAACAAATTGGATTTTATAATGGCTCAAACTCAATTTACATTTGTGATGAAATTAAAAATTCCCATAATATTTTATTAGCGGCCGCGCACATAATTAACGCCCCCTGGCGGGCCTCGGGTCAAATGGCAGCATATTAATGTGTCAAATACACTTATTACTTGAACTTTACAAATTGTTACGTAAATATTGCTTTAAAAACACTAAACGGTTTAATAAATATGGCATACTTCGATATTGACATGCTGTTTTAGTTGAAATTTTATTTAAATTACTAGCTGTCCCCGTGCGACTTCATCCGCATAAAATTATGAAAACTTTACTTTATTGTTTACATGTGTCAAATTATTACTTGCATCCTTGGCGATGGCAGCAACTTATGGTCTCTTTCCCACATTAGGGTTTTTATCCAAATTATTTACCCCCTAAGTTTAATGGCGTGAAAAAATGTAGCCTAAAGCGTGACGTGAGTGTAGGGCTTTTTATTAAAAAATAATTATTCAAAAATATGCTGTAATTGCTGACATCTTAGGCAACAAAGATGTGTGTGTTTACGCTTTATTATAATAGTATAGATATTAACAACTAATAGTTAAAAGTTTATTAACAACTAATTGTTTCCAGCGACTTCATCCAAGAATTAAAATAAAAAAAGTAGCCTACTATTTGCCCGTTTATGTCAGTCATCCTTCAGCGAAAGTCTGGTCGAAATCGGCCCAGCCATTTCGGAGATCACACAGCACAACCGCGGCTTGCGGACAGACAGACAGACAAAACAAATTTTAAAATGAGATTTTCGTTATCAGCAATACAAATACATCCCGAAATCTGGAATTTTTTGATAGTACAAACAGACACTTTAATTTTATATTATGTATATAGATAGATATAGATTACTACGTTACTTCGATACTCAGGGCTTCACTAAGTAACTTGTAAGTAAGGCATTACTGTAGAAATGTTTTTCAAAGCTAATAAGACTTATAAACATAAATCCCAGCTGAGGAAGTTAAGAAAAGCAACGAAGAGCTTTCGGTACGTAGAGTAATAAAGAAAAATATTTATGACGGCGAGTGTACAAATGTTTGCAACAGGCCGCTTGTGTTCTAAGACATCTCTGAAAGCTCGAGAAATGCTTTATTCTGTATGCAGTAAATAAAAAAATAATACTCAACTACAGCTGAGGAAATTTATTTCCTACCCATTTGAATTTCAATGACGAAATAGATAACTCTAGCATCTACTAAAGTTCAGTAGGTACAGATTCATTGCAATATATTTAAGGATATTCATCATCAAAATGCCCTTGTCCTTACAGGGGGTCAGCACAGTATGTACTGCTCCATACATCTCTATCAGCCATCATATCCGATTTTTTTCCCTTAAGCATGTCCTCTTTCACACAATCGAAACTTTCTTCGGTCTTTCTTGTTTATGGCCTCGTCTCAGCAATAATAAACTAAAATTTAATTGCATTTTAACAAGATATAAATTAACATTGAAACCGGTTGTAAGCGTATAACAACAAATTTTAAATTAATATACAAGATTTAGATTGATTATTTCCGGTTTGGTTTTTTTTATGTTTTTTTCTGCCACACACATTGTCGGTCATTGGAACAGGTGTAGATTATTTTTTACTCTACATATGAGAGATTAGATGGATTATGAGAAATATAAAATATAAAAAGGATTTCTTACAATCTGATAGAAGATGTATAGAGTTCACATCATGAGGAAAGAGACAGTATGATAATAGTGTTTTTATTTAACTTGAAAAATGAGACAGAAATGTTTTTGTTATTTCGACATTGAATTACAGTTCCAATTTTAAAATTGTGAATACAGATAAGAAATATTTGCAACCACGAAGAGAAGGCGAGTCAAAATAAAATGACAAACAAACAAAGCGAGAAAGTAAAGAATTTCTTCGTGGAATACACAATTGAAATTCACATAGTGGCATTACAAACTCACACAACAATTTTCTTCAAGGGGAATTGTTAACGAAATGTAGCAACGTACCCCAACAGGGGTTTAGCAGATGGGGGGATAGATCCGTGTTTTCCACATACATCGGAACAAAGCATTTTCTTTTCTTCGTTGATAATAT